ACATGAGTTACCGTATGCCTTCAGAAAAAAGTTTTATGTGGTGATATGATAGCAAGTCAGTGCAATAAAACCGATATTTTAGACAAGAATAGCCAGTGTCGTTTCAGTTACTACAGTAGCCGGCAAGCAGTCAGGTGAGTTGTTGAATAATGCCGTACCATGGCTCTAAGAGTCCTGCTCGCCAAAACTGTCTCACTTTCCGCCTTTTTTTTAAACTTCGGTGGAGAAATGAATAAGTGCTTCAATGAATGAATCAACAAGGACAAATTGGTCTTCAATACTCGGATACTCAAATACTCGGGCGGCCCATTCTCACTAGTTGTGCAGGCGTCAGCATATTCTCCATTTATCGGAGTTTTGCTAGTTCCGCCGCTATTGTTCCATGGAGTCCTGACGTCAGCCTAGTCAAAGTCTGCCCAAGTCGCCGCTCATGTGGATCAAAGGGAGATTTGCCACAATGTGAATGCTTTGATACGAGGACGGTGGTGAATCCTGGTAATAGTTGACTCCTAGCCAGAGTTCCCGAATGAAACGCCAGACTCCTTCTTAGCTTGGAAGGCTGTACCGGTAGGATGAATCACTCCCGATGTACATCGCAGCCCAACACCCTGGAATACCTCACAGCCACGATGAGGCGGTAAACTGTTGGGAGGATTTCCATGGAACTGCGCCTTTTAGACTGATCAGAATCGTCTCTCTTCTTTTTTCCACTGTCCCGTTGTGGAAAATGGAAAACAGTCGTCGTTATAGAGAAGCTGCTAGAAAAACCTGGTACGTTCATGCTTTCAAGAATCCGGTATAGACACATTTGGACATTGTTCATTCATTTCTTGTTCTTCCAGCCTTCCTTTTATAACGCACCGTTGTTTTTGATTCCTTCTTTTTCGTTTGTTTTTTCACCTTGTATCAACAGAATTATGAATCACGAATTAGCCGACCAAGCAGGTCATATATTTGTAGCTTACATCACAGACGAAAACTGCGGCGAGATGAAAATAATGGAGAATAATCACTCAGCACGAAGAACGCCTTGGCTTTTGTCGATACATTCTACTAAGCACTAAGAATACGGTAACACTCTTTTCAGGCACGGTGAGCTCTGCGCACTTTACACCTAAGAATTGCTTCCTTTTGTTAGTCATATTCTCACAAGCGCAGTTACAACGACAAAATTCATCTATTCACTCATACGCTTATCTGTCCACCATTCTATACATATTTCATTCCGTGAATATACGCGTTAACAATCAGGAACAGGTCCGGAAGCTATCACTGTTTCATTGAATAATAACTATAAATGAAACTACTGTTTTCTATGCTAGCAAACTGCCTTAGAATGCCCTTTAAAGCAACAAAAAAGTAGAACGAGGATCTTTTCGGTTTCCCTTTTCAACTGGTAAAAAAGTGTTTTAAAGTTTTCTTGGTTAAACGTTTTGCTTAGGTTATTTTATAAAAGAAGTAACACTAAAGTGCTCTTACAGCTGATATTGAGGGTAAAGATGCTTTCTAATTGGGCATTCTTGAAAAACTTCATGCAGAATTCTGAAAGCACTGTTTTCCAGCTGGCAGCTGTTATCTAAGAGAAATTCGAAAGACACTTTGTTTTGCTATTACCCTCTTCTTTTGGTAGACTTTGCTTTTTATCGCCTAGAACTTAGTTCGTCACTCATTGGTTTTCTTACCTTTCCTCATTGAACTCCTCAAATAATACATACATATATATATATGTATCGAAGGCAAACTTTCTCGAAATTTTCTCCTTTTATATATTCACGTCTCACAACTCTTTTCTCCTCGTCCTAAACGATTTTGATCGCGATAAAAGCGCTGGAGTGCTTTCGCCTTTGCGTTTCCGTGTTTTTCCTTTCTATCACAAAGATTAACAGTCTCTTAAAGATTTATTTTTTCATGAATTGCCAATTTTCTTCGCTGTCGTCATGAAGCCATTCGATGTTTTGTTTGCATTGACGTAGAGTGTTGTCCTGACGCTTGGGTCATCCATGAAGAGGCGTTTTCTTTGCAAGACGAAGTTGACCTTTCCCATGTGTTCATTTTATAGCCATTGTTGTTGCTCCACTCCATTCGTCTGACTCTTCTAAAGTGCAAACATTTCTGGCTGTCAGCAAGTCGAACCGAAACCGCCCGTTCATTCGTCTAACACCTGCACTCATCGCTCACTCACATTTGAATCCAAAAAGAAATCCAAGCCTTACTTCTGCTCGTTCTACTTTTTTCAGCTTTAAGCAAAAGAACTGCTACCTGTGAGTGTAGTTTTAAGAGGGCAATTATTCAATTTGCAACAATGGTAAAGTATTGAAGACAGAGAGAGTTTCTTCTGGCGATGATGAGGCGATTGACGTTAATGTAAGTCAATAAAAGTCACATAAAGCACAAAAACGCTTTTTTACTTGTGATGTAGGCAAGTACGATAACTGCCTTACTGATTATCAATCGAGTAATGCTGCTCGCTTTTCTCGATTTACTTGTTCGGGGATCGTCAAGGTCTCCACTTGGTCCAGCCGTATACCCGAGTTACCCAATGAGCTCCGCGCGTAAAGCGGTCACCTACAACCCTAAGGATCTTTCGGAGCTACCTTGACTATACAGCCACATAGCTTATCTTTTCTTTGGGGTTGGGTATAGGAATTTCGTTGCCATCTTTTCGTAGTCCACATGACCCTGTCTGGAAAATAAAGCATTGCATGCTACAGCATTACATTACATGCTGCCGTTGAACATTTAAGAGAAAATCGCAAGATAGTGAAAATAGATTATTGTCTCTTAATAGGTTACTAGTTAATGTATTTTTATTTTTTTAAGCGCAGGAAGCGCTGATGCTGTACAATAACACACGCGAAGTTAATTGGTAGTCGGTGGCTCGCCCCTGCGCCGCGCTAACAAGCACCCCATTTCTCCGCAATTGTGAAATCGACATTAGATTCAAATAAATACAATCAATTTTTGTAAGAACCCTGTGCTTGCTTATTACCTAGATACTTGGACCGCCCACCTTCACTGGTTGTGTGGTCTCTAGCATAATTTCCGTTTGCTCGGTGTTCTGCTGGTCCAGCCATTGTGGTACCATGGAGTCCCGAAGTCAGCCTTGCCAAAGTTCGCTCCAGGTTGTGACGACCACAGGCAGTCGCCGTCTTTGTGGCTGACGTGGATGGCGACCGCTAGCTTATTAATGAAAGAAAATACAACAGTGGAACGATATGATGTTTGGAAAGGTGAGGAGTTGAAAAGGAATCAGACATCAACTACAGCGTTAGATATTTTTAGAGCACAGTAACTCTTATTAAACAATAGAAGTATTCCCACGTGCATTTTTTTCTTCATCGCCATGAAAATTGCGATCAACCAGTTAAGAGCTGTTTAACTATTCCTACACTATAATCCTTTAGTATTTTTAACCAAATGCACAGGTTTTCTTAAAGGTTGCGCCAAAAATATCGCTTCTTTATTGCATGTTTTATTTATTTCAACGACGCTATCACAACCGCACTTTTTCCGACCAGAGTGATTAGCTAAACTGGCTTAATCATGAGGAAAACACCAGGATAAGCACCGTTTTACTAGTTGTCTTGATCGGCTGGTCAGCCTTTATCAGGCTAAAATCGTCGAAAAATTATCTCTTGACAAAAATCTCGGTTTTTGAATGAGAACCACAATCGTAATAAAGATCACAATATCCGTCTGGATGACGATGTCGATGATGATCGTTGGCCAAAAATCCGGCGCCAATATTCTGGCTGATGGGCCTGGCAGCGATCGCGCAAACTCGTCCTTCTAGCAACCAACCAGCCATTTAAGATTTACACTTCCTGGCTGTGCAACGAACTCACTACCGATTGCTTATTTGAATGAAAATAATGAAGTGGCCGTTTGAGTACAAGTCGATTTGAAGAAGGTAAATTTGCTCTTGTGTTATTCCGCGATTTTTTGCAGCATGTTACCTGAGATTTTCACTTAGCTCTTAAGTGTCTTTTTCAGTTCCTTCTTCTTACTTTGTTTTCAGATTGTGTGTTTAGAATTTGCACTTTTAATTTTTGCAATGATATCCTTTCTCGTGTTTGCTAAAACAATAATCTTTTCTAGTAATATTATTTGAAAGAGACACTTACTCTTTGCCATACTTCGATTCCAGACTATTACCATACTTTCTTCCCAATCCTGTGTTTCATACTACCTTATGCGTAAACTATTCCAGTGTTTTTTCTTCATTTTCGTCACAAACCTCGTTCAAAGATCCTTCATGCAGTCTATTTTCAATAACCTCAACCACGTCTCTGTCCTCATCGAGTAAACCCAGACGCCCCACAGATTATTTTTGGTCGTTGTTTGAATTTTAAGGCAAACAGCTTCCTCGTCTAACAGCTTACCATGAGTTTCATCCTGCTCTCGGGTAATTTCTCCCCTTAGTTAATTTAGCCGACCGACTTGATTGCTGTGCATTGACGTCTGACTTTGTGAAGTAATCATTTCGTTTCTTCACTTCATTCATAGCTACTTAACGTCTTACATTTTAATTGTATTATCCTATATGCTCTCCCTTATACGGTATTCCAAGAAGCGTCCTTCACCGATATTATTCTTGGGAACCTAGAAGTCCACTCAACAGTACATGCTCCTCCTTAAAATCCATACAGAGTGCAGGCAGTAAAAGGATAGTTTTTAACTTACTATGATGAATTCCTTTGGGAGCGTCATGCGCTTTTTGTCAACGAGCGAATTTCCGACTGTTGTGTTTATTCACGGAAAAGCTTAGAGTTGACATCAAATCTGGTTGCTATCCGCGACGAACAATTTATGTCGCAAAACTAAACGCGGTAGTATTTCTAAGGCATCCATTTATCTTACCATTTTTCCCATAATTTCTTTTTAGCATTCGACTTCGTTTCGTTTGTGTATCAGAGTCGTATCTCTTAGTTATATGCTGATTTATCGCAGCCAGCACGATGCCGCTCATTGTGACCGACATCCCTTTTAATGGATTTCAGATGATCCACTTAATATTTCTGGTTACTCTTGCGACATTTGTCGATTGTTTGGACGAATCGAGTTTTCTCACAGCTCACAATGGTATCTTTCGAGCGCTAGACTGGACGAATGACGAGTTGGCTGAGGTTTCGGCACTTCATACCACTGCATCTTATCACAAACTGTTGCGAATAGTGGCGGTAAATGTTTTCCACTTCATAAAAAAATTAAGAGTTAATTAATGTCGTACTCAAAAATTTGTTTAGAAGTAGGAAGTTGTAAATATGTTTTGAAATACATAAGAACGATACTCGCTAATGGGTTTTAGTCGAAATTGAGCGAATCGGGCATCGACGATGACGCTCGAAGACGTATTGAAAAGTTCATGGTGCAGAAACTGCCGCCGAAGTTTCTGAAGAATTTTCTCAATGATGAAGATAAGGACACAGTAAGTTTTTTTTTGTAAATAAACTAAGGAGTGAATGTCGAAAACTGCTAAGGGTTGGGAATAACATGGTTCTTGTGGTATGCCAATTTTCCGAGCACATCGCATTCCACTATGTGAAATGTGGAAAATGTAGACAGTGCTCTGATAAAGATTATCGATAAGTTTTTCAGATGCTTAGGCTTATGTAGAGGACATGTGTTCTGCAATTTCTTATCGTTAAGATAGCATGTCAAACAAGAACAGGGAGAAGACGATAGAATGCCATGGCATTCCCATTCTTTCAATATGGTGAGAAAGGCAAAGGTGTAGGTATCGAAGAAATATTAATTCCCTCTTTCAATGCGTTCCCAGAAGCAGCAATGATTTTTGTAATGGGTTTTCATCTGCCTCATGGCTTTACATATGCGCCTTCCACGACCTTTGCAGTTTTTCTTCTTGAAGCCTTCCTTAATTTTCTGCAGAGGTTTCACGGACTATACACAGGTTCACAGACGAGTTATCAGTACCATGCTACTCATCTACTTTAAAGTCAGCATATCACCTAGGTGCAGATCAGAAATCAACCGAAGAAAACAGACTGTTCAATTTACGATGATTTTGGGACGTCACATTTTGAAAACTGCGAGTTCATCTTTCTTAAATCTGTGCTTTTCTTATTCTTGTCGTTAAAACCTATTTCGGTGCTTAAATTTTGTTCTGCTAATGTACAGAATTGCAAAATGAAGATAGTTGCGCGAACGTGATCACTGGTTTGATAATCGTCATCAGATTAAAGAAACCATCGCGTCGATTCTGTGTTGATAAGTTAGTATCAAAAATATACAGTGAACTAAATCCTGGCTGCCGTCAGCAAATCAGTCAGCTGCCGACATTCTCGAAAGAAAGTCCGCTATTACCCATTAAAACATTTTGTGACCGGATCATTCGTGAGTTTTTTTGACTACTTTTTTAGAAATACCAGTTACCAAGTGTGGATCAAGTTAACAAAGCTGCTATAAGAAAAAGAGACGAGGACAACGAGCTCTATTGATTTCAGATACTTAGAAGCTAACTTGGCGATGTTTCAGAGTAAATGAAAATTTCAGTTACTTCAACTTCATGCTGGTGGTGATTTTCACGAATACGCACTGCTTTTGTTCAAGCGACTATTCGAACTACCAAAACAACAAGTGATCACTGCTTTGCGCTACTTCGGTTACAATGCAGAAGCGGATTTTCTCGAGGAAGCCGAATGCTATTCGTGTGCCGTTATACGTTTGTCGGAACGAATTGGTCGCTAGTGTTCGTTTGTGCCCGCTAAGGGTTGCCTATCCTCGCTAATGCCCCCAATGCACACAAGCGCGCTCATTAATGCCACTAATCTCATTTCATTACCAAAGAATTTTAATGGCATTTGCTAAATTATGCAAACGATATGAAGCGAAACATAATGAAGCCCACTATATAAAGGATGCATATCGATTGGTAGCGTAAAGAACGGTGGCAAAAGATCGTGGTTATACACAAAGAAAAAAAACTTTTATAGATTCTATTACTGAATAAATCTACTATTTATTAATAACTTAAAGCAGCTGCCAGTTGATATGTATCATTCCTGTTGATGTTATTACCACTGATGCCAATGTCTGCATTCTTTAGAGTTGTGTTTAAGAACCAATTTGAAAGGACCATAATCTAAGCAATCTGCCTAACGTACTGATTTAATACCTATCTTCTAAATAAATATAATATTCTTTAAGATTCCCACTCATTTCAGTTTCCAGTAAGTTGTTGATTACGGTTGTGGAATAAGCAAGATCTGATGTGTAGATCTCATATATTACTTGTATTTCGATCAATAAAGTGTTGTGATTTAACATCTAATATATATTGTAAACGCAGTAAGGACGTTATGAACATTTGGATGAGTAATATGCGCCTCCTCTGTCATTGGTCACAGACAGATAAGCGTCTCCCACAAGAGTGGGCAACCAGTAGCAAAGTAAAGATTGCGCCTTGGTTAAAGGCTTCATCCAAGTGGGGGAACCTCTTAGCTCGACTATTCCTAACCTTGCAACGAGAATCGACTAGACCAGTTTTCTACGACTTTCATAAAAAAAAGAAGAAATCCTCAAGCAGCAGCCGAAAGAAAACGCGAAACGTTCGAAGACCTTTGTAGACAATGAATGCGAGGAAAACGGATCGAATGCAAGAAGTGTTGAGATCCGCGCAGTAGATGTGACGGCAGGCCATGCAAAATGAAAAGAATAGTTGTTACTTCATAATAGATTTAATCTCATAAATAATGTTAATATTTATTGACTTATTGATTGGTGATTCATTAATTAAATACTGAGGTCGCATTTACGGGAATAAGAAACCCGTCTGATATTTAGACTGAAGATATATCTATCAAACATTTTCAAGTAGCAAAGAAATACGAACAACATTACGTACGGACAATACCTGTATGATGGCAATGCTAGTGAGGCGTCTTTAAAAATAACGATGATAGCAACAATAATCGTACACCGCACAAAATACGGAAGAAAAGTATTATGTACAAACCGCTTGCCGTATCACTTAAGGTATACTTTTTGAGTGATTAATGAAAAAGAGAAAGTTTTAGAAATAATCTTTTCCTAGCAGCAAATCAGTCAATGTATATAAATTACATTTACAGGAAATTATTGATCAATGACAGATCAAATTATATTTCGGCTAATCTTAAGCTCAGCGTCCCGTATAGGATTCAATCTGACGGTGGAAAGGAATAACGTTGTTGAAAAAATGCAAAAATTCGTCAAAATAGAGATATTTCTGAGCTTATGTGGGCAAAAAATAGGGATAAGCAACTGTAAGTATTTGCATATTGTGTGAAAATGAGAGCACATTTGAGTGAAATTGATGACATTAGAAATCAACAAACTGCTATGAAGGATTGGCCTGAGGATTCAACAGACAACGTAAACGTGCGGAAAACTTTCGTGAGTTCTTAGTTCTTTTTGATAAGAAAGTGAAATCTTCAGATATTAGTGCAAAGTCTTAGAATCCAATTCCTATTAGCGGTGGTGTAAGGTCTTATTTCTAAGGAAAACCCTCCAATGTTTGGAGACAACAACTGGTTACGCACAACTCTTCATTTGATTCTGGAATGCCAGCATGGATTTAGAGCGGCTCCTACGCCGGTGCCAATGTCGGTTTGCCGTTCTCGATCTTTGCCATTATTGTCATCTTCGGTGCTGCTGACATTTTCCGGCTACATCCTGGTTGGCTTTTTATGCGTTCTGAAACCGATGAACTGTACAAACTCTGGTGCAATAATCCACTAGAAAAAACAAAGTTATTCTCCTGCAAAATCTTATTCATTCCAGCTGGCCTGTCTCAATGTTTTGTGTTCGTCTACAAAAACAACAAAAACAGAAACTTGTTTCTAGCATTTTATATTCCAAAAATCATTTGGTTGTGGTTGTCATTTGTCGCATCTAGTCGGTGGTTCTGTGTCTGTAGGTATATTAGAGCTTCTTAGTTTGTTCCCAATCGCGGAGACAAAAGGTGTAGGTCGAGCCACCACACTAGAGAAATGCAACCAATTTCCTGAATCCGGCAGTGTCGCAGCGCAAGCACATGGTCATTTTTTGGGTCACGTTTATCTCTTTAAGCCGGATAAGGAAGGCAAGGTCAGCTATTGCAGCTATGAACCAAACCTTATCTAAGTGGAAGCCGCAGTGGAAGCCGCATCATCACCTTTTGGATACCGTTTAACCTCCAAGCGGTCACATGCGGGACTGTTATTTAAGAGGCGACTGAGCGACCTCAGATCTCCTTTTTCATGCTAAAGAATAGATGCTTGCATAGCAAGATAAATGGACAGGCTTCATCAATGTGGACAGATCCCATCTAGTACTCACAATTCCAGCCGGTTTTTTGAATCATTGCCGTTAATGTATGACATAAAAAAGTTCCAGCGAGAATTCTTTGGCAGTAAATTTTACTTTTGCGCTGCTTTCCTTCAAGTCCTCGTCACTTACGGTATCACTGTATTCGTTCCAACCACTATCACTATTCCTTCCAGAAAATGCGAACTGATAAACGATAACGGGAAAAGAAGAAGAAGAAGGAGGAAAGAAAAACAAAAGAAGAGGCGAAAAACCCACGTCGCGGATGGTTTATGGCAGTTTTTCCATTTAATAAGCTTCGAAATGCAGCACGAAACCGTGCCGACATCAAATTGTAAAGAATCGGATTGATAGCGCAATTTATGAATATCATGGTCTTTGAGAAGAAGATATACCTGAAAATAGTAACCAGAAATTCCTTACAAGCCTTTATTTTATTCAGCTTTCTAATGAACGACTAATTATGTGTATTTAGCAGTAAATAATTTTTGATCACTTGTTAATCACCTGTTACTCTTTTAATAACTAAGTAACTCCTAATGAGAACCTTTGCATGACCCGCTGAGTCTGATCTGCAATGGACTTTAATCTCTCAAGGTACACAAACACCATCAGACATCGTTTCTAACGAGAAAGGAGCCACAGACAACTGTGTGACTCTGAGTTTCAGGTCGATTTTTAACTTGTTCCAGCGTACGACAGAAAAGAGTGGGACCTATTTTCTGCACAACTTTAAAAGCTTCTCATTTACTTCCTAATCGCATCACTTCAGGCTTTTGACCAAATCAATGCTCGGAAAAACAGGCAGCATATATTTAACGTATCAACTTTCTTATTAATGGTTACAAAAGCAAGGTATCTGGTTTTGGATGGGAAGGGATGCGAAAAGTATGTGACTCCCGTATAAACCATCTCTTGTGTTCACCGATGTCTTACAGCGAGTGTGTAGTCGCTTTTGGCACGCGTCACGTAACACTCGCGACTGACCGATTAGAGTATATCCCATGAGATGAAGAAGGTCCATGAAAATTACCAAGTCTCCCAAATAGCGAAATGTACTATACAAACCAAACACTTTTCATTACTTGCTATTAAATTATTGGTACTATTACAAATAAAATAGGCTTATTTCAATAACTTATAGGTTTCCTTTAAATTCTTTGCTGACGATAATCAAAGAGAATCTGTTCACATTGGGTAAATCCCTAGATCTTTGTCCTCTATAATCATTCCTTCACCTTTCTTCTTTTTCTCTTTCCCTATCTCCATGATCTCTCTCCTTCTTTTTCTTCTACTCGCTTCAGTTTAATGTGATTATAACTGTCTATCTCAGCGCTTAATAACTACTCTGGTCGATCAAATGCTAATGAAAGCTCACCACTTATTGCTAGCCGATTAATATGAATGATACTTGTTAGTACAAATACCGGGAATGGGAAAGCCAATTTGAAGGCAAAATTAGAACTAGAAATGCAACCACAGTGATAATGAGATATGAGCAAAACTTGGAACCATGGTTGTACTTCGAGCCTGCGATTAGTCTGAGGTTGCTAGTTTTGCTCATATCTCCACATCATGCCTTGCCATGAAGAGAAAAAATAATAGGACGTAAATAAAAGTTAAACATTGTGATTTCTATTGCAGCCGCAGTTTAGTTGAGTTCGATGCCGGTTTGTACTCACCTGATCAATCCCGCTGACAGGTGACCGCTGACAGCACTATTACGGTAAAAAAACTGCCAAAAGAAAGACAAAACAAGGATCTCAGTAGTGCAGTGAGTAACAAGTGAAACCCAGAAACGGTAATCACGAATTCGACTCTGACCTGGGGTCCAAGTTTGGAAACAACTCAGCATCATTGTTTAAACACTAGGACTACGAAAGACCGACTTTCTATAAACCTCCGCATAGATAGTTGATATATTTATTTATATGATCTTATAAACTGATCTTGTTTAGCCAAAGCACCACAATTTAAACAAAATTTCCAATTTTAATGTGTAAAACATTTCTTAAAAGATTCCAAAACACTTTGAGAGTAAGTAGACGAACCCGTCTGTGTTCCATTTCTCGTCACGAAACGAGTTGTTCACCACCATCGCCCTGTACGGTAGCCAACAAGTGGCGAAGACGAACACCACCAGTGCCAGCATTTTCACCACCTGAATTCATCTCCTTCGTCCAAACTCTTCCGTTTGTTTTCTACTTAAGGTAAATTAAAATGCAATTATGCAGAGCAAATAAATGTTTGGTGTACACCAAACAAAACAAATTTAAATGAAATAACTCAAAGGACCGACTTTCTATAAAACTAGGCATAAATAATCGATATACTTATTTACAGGTTCTTATAAACTAACTTTGTTGAGCTGATCCAAGGTTGGTATAAGATGTCGTTGTTGCTGTTGTTGCTGCTGTCGCCGCTGTCGTTGTTGTTGTCGTCGTCGTTGTTGCTGTTGGTCGATGGGACTCATGTGTCCCACTCGTAACAGCGCGCTCTTAGGAAGGCGAAGTTCACCCATCGATCAACAACAACAACAGCGACGACGACGACAACAACAACAAGAACGATAAAAACAACAACAACAGCAACGACTTATGCCAACTTCACATCAGCTCAACAAGATCAGTTCATGCAGGATAAAAATAAAGCTCTCGGCGTTGATCAATCCTTGAGGGATGCGCCATGCAATCGACTTCACTAAGCATCGTTTGGAGGTGATTGAATGCATATCTTGCCTTTACAATGACTCGCGGTGGCCCATCGATGTATCGAGCCAGTGCTGTCAACCTCTCAGACAGATGGGGTGCCTCTGCCGACCCCGGAGAGATTGAATGCTTGGTGGTTCATGGGTGCGGTGGTTAATTCCACATGTGTGTTGCAGGACGCCTCCGACCACTGCGCCACACAAGCCCATGATCAGATCAGACAAGAACATATAAATAAATATATAAATGAAATATCTACAAAAAACCAACTGTGACATTGCGAAGTTAATGACGAAACCCTGTGAAAAGAAATTCTCACAATAGTGGAAATCCGAAAAAAAAACTCGTTTCACCAAATCCACTTTTTTTGAGGACAATTAAGTCTTGAAGTTGACCACATGACCTTTACTGCTTTGGCCGCAATTTTAGAAATTGGAAGAAAAGAGATTAATCAAGAAAAAGTTCATTTTGACTCTCATATGAACTAAACGTGAAAGTAGTCCACCAAAAAAGAACTTTGTGGCCAAAAACAAAAAGGCAAGTGAAGATTTTTAGAACGAATATACAATAAAAGTAGCAATTTGAAAGATATCGAATTAAGCGGCGTTGTTCACTGAAAGATTAATTTCGCAAATAACACAAAAATTGAAGTAACTGCCACGACCGACTTTCTATTAACCTCGGCACTGATCAAGTGATTTTCTTCGTATTTTTGTTGAGCAAACGCGAGGTGTTACTATTCTTTGTTCACGATTAAGCTGACGTTTCGGCGAATTTCGCCTTCTTCAGAGCCGCTTTTTATGAGGTTTCCACTAAGTATGTCACGTAGAGACCAACCGCACAGAAATCACGTGGAAGTATAATGTATTGCGATTACTACGCACTTGTCTACGAAGCCGACAAAACCAGATGTTCGCCAAGTGAAAGAAGTGCGAGACGAAGGAAAACTTTTGTGCTAAATATTTGGAGGACCACCTCTGGAGGAGAATAGTGAGCGGGCTCTGAAGAAGGCGAAATTAGCCGAAACGTCAGCTTAATCGTGAACAAAGAATAGTAACACCTCGCGTTTGCTCAACAAAAATACGAACAAAAATTGAAATCACGCATTGTTCATCGGAAATTTGGCGCAGGATGTTGGTCTCCGACTGGTACAAAATCTACCGTTACATTTATCGATTGGCGACTCTCAGATATCCGCCATTGTTAAAAGAGTTTTTGCCGCGCGTTGACGCTTACCTGATTTCGTCCCACTGACGAACTTCGGCGGACGATCACACGTTGCATCTCCTTAACATCAGTGAGTGGAGGTCTTTGCAGTAGATTGTTCGACTGAGTATTCCCATGAAATTCTGGATAGTTTTAATAACAATAATAATTTAATAATTTCGCTTTTTATTCGCTTTCATCGAGTCCAGAAGAAACGGGAATCACAGTGCTCATAGATACCGTACAACACGCGCATAGTATCTGGTTTAACCTCGTCAGGTCAAACCAAACACCCTGTTCCTCTGGTATCGGTAGATTGGTATCTGACTTGATCCTTCCGTTCTACAAAGGTGGGTGATTGCCTGAGGGGGACCCATAAACGCTCTGGTAGAGCTTTCTCTGGATTTCAAGAAAAACAGAAACTTAACATTCAGCGACATTCGTTTAAAAAAAAGAGTTCTCAAGAAGCGACCGAATATATACGCAAATCTGAAGAAATGATAGGACGACAAATGCTAAAAACTAGAAGCGCTTACAACGGTAGAGCTTAGAGAGGGTTCAAAAAAACTATTGTAGAGTCTGGAGAAAAACCATAGGGATCTCCGCAAATTTATTCCGCTGTCAGCTCTAGTGGATGGTGATGAGATCACCAGAACTTTCTGCCATGATATTGGATTGATAGCGGAAAAGTTCTTCCATCTATTCATTCGCAGCACCCATACGGTAAACCCCAGCTGAGTAAAAAGCCACCCACACTCCTTCTCTTGAAATCCAAGATGTAATAAAGAGCATAAAGAAAAGCAGACTTCAAGTTTAGCCAGCATCATGGCTAAATTCCTGAAAGCAGAAAGCTACTACCTACCCGTATTTATTTATTTATTTATTTATTTACATGACCCTTTTCCCACCTACTGTTCGGACTCCGGCATCATCGACACAAAGGTTTTCGAACACTTCGCGTGTTGTTTCGGCTGATGTTTGAGGATTTCATCCTCTTTATGAATGTCGTAGAATGCTGGAAAAGTCGATCACCTTTGCAATCTTGGAGATAGCCCCGCTAAGGCGCTCTCACGTGATTAGCGAAGAGCGTTAAGGTGGGAGTCAAACCAACCTCTCACACTGCATTTCTCAAAACCAGTATGACAATTTGTATCCGAAAGAAAGGTTCCTTGACCAGTAAAGCACTTAGCAAACCTCCTATTTTTTTGTTGAAGCCAACAAGCCTTCTAAGACGATAAGATGTATTTCAAGGACTCTAGATTAGCTACTCATTTGAACGGGTTATAGTGCGCAGGTGACGCGCAAACTGTAGTTGGAGCCGATGGTAACACGACTCGCCCGTTGTTTCAACTTTTGTCGACTAAGAAAAACCGTTCGTCAGCATTAAAACGGATGCCATCCTATCTACGCACGTCGACCATGCAGTGGACCTGTTCTACATAGGAAGTCTAGCTGACTGCTACTTTAACTGCATAACAGCTCATCTATAAACGCTTTATCACCCAAATTGAAAAACAGATTCAAAAGGGGATTCACATTGTTCATCCGCGCATTGAAGTCGACTATCAATTTTTTCGACTGGAACGGAAAGGGCATTTAACAAATTCCTAACAGAAATTTGTTTTTCAGACAAATTATTTATCCATTCCAGAAGCACCTCTGAATCAGAAAAGCTCCTCGAACTCGACGAAGCAGGAAAAGGAATAGTAATGCGCATAAATCAGAAGAAACCAAGTTCATAAAAAATTCATAGAGCAAGAAAAAAAGAGTCGAGGAGGACGAAATTTCTAAGGTAGAGACGATATCCTACATGGTGTATATGACGTTTTCAGCAAACTTGGAAAACTAAGAAACGTAACGATAATTGAAAACCCTAACAAGTATTGAAAATCCTGCTTTTGGGATAGGTAGAAGAATACGTAACCACAACAAGACATGGGCTATCAAGTCACCGGATTAAAAGCATTGGCGACAAATGGACTAGATGAACAGTACAGTGAGCTCCAATATAGTGTAATCTCTGCTACAACCTACTACAAAACCGAGAGACATTTTTGGCTCACATCAATAAATTGTAGGTGAAACAGACGTAAGCGATTTATGGACACATTTACAGGCTCCATTACGTTCTACGGACATCACTACGATAAGCAATGATCGCAAGGGGACGAAAATGGAAACCGGGTCGGGACCCGCATGACTCGTGAAAATGGATCATAGAAGTGTATAAATTTTTCTATATTTTTTCTTGCTCCATAAATTTTTTTATAAATATATCTTTTCTAATGTTCACCTGAATCACTGTATTTCTTATTATCTTCGCAATGGCTAAGAACGATAGCGATTTTCACGTAGATAACGATGTTGAGAAACATGGGAATCACATAGAATCCAACCAAATCACCGACATACATTACCTAAATGCAAAATAAACGACCATTTCTACCATTATTAGAATAAATACTCATAATAACATTGTTGTACTCGGTAAAAATGAATTCTTCAATGAATTCGCAATTTGTTCATTTAGACAATATTTACTTCACCAAGAACTCTCTCCCATTGAATAAACAATGCACTCGCTTTTTACATATACATTTTCACTTTCCACCTTTTATTTGTGAAAATCACTATCGTCAATTTGAAATTGAAATGCAGATCTGGGGACCGATCCAGCCCAACGGTTAGAAGTGCCTTGCAACACATCCTCAATCGGCTACCTCGCCTTGGGCAAGCCAATCCTAGTACTGTGCCGAGATCGGAAAATTGATATCAGATTTGTCTGCGAGGATGAAAATCTGAATTGATACACGAACGCGTCATCACAAGTCACTGCACAGGCGAAGTATGCATCCAATCATTTCTACGATGCTGCGAATGAAGTGAATTCAAGTTTAGCTTGAACAATGCATGGCGCATCTCTGAGGGATTGATCAACGCCGAGCACTTTATTCCTTTCATCTTTTACGGTTATGCACTTGAACAAACGTTTTATTAATGAGGAAATCAAGCACACTGTTTGAATCACCTATGAAAACTTTCGTAACCATGAACTTTTCCATTTGTTCAGAAATTATTATTTATTTTACAAATTTACATGACCTGTCACCACATCTACTGCACGGATCTCAACAATACTTGCATTCGAATCGTTTTTCTCGCACTCGTCGACTACAGTGGTCTTCCAACATTTCGCATGTTGCTTCGACTGCTGCTTGAGAATTTCGTCTTCTTCATGAATGTCGTAGAATGCTGATCGAGTCGATTCTCCTTGCAGTCTTCGAGATAATTGGGCTAAGGCGTTCATTCGTGGCCTGGTGGAGAGCGTTGGGGCTAGCATCGAACCACCGCTTTTGCTTCCTGATTAGCAGTAAACGGTAGCAACGCCAACCACTACACTATCCCAGCCCCTTTGATGTTTGCCGTTTGTTCACAAAGTTCAATGAAAATCGGAGGAACCAGTTATTCGAACAACTCCATCGACTCTGTCAAAGGTAATCAGCACCTGTCGAATAGTTCCGCAGTTTAGCTTGAAGTAATTCATCCAAGGACGATCGCCATTTATTTACTGGTTCTGGTTTTCTCTTTGTCAAACCGTTTATGTGTGAGTAAAAAACTCTTCGAAACGCTAGAAATGCAAATTCTCATCAGAATTTCGGATATTTTCCACTTTAAATGATAAAAAGTAATTGACGCTCTCATTTCGTACCTTATACTTCCAGTCTTCTCTGCCCATCTTAAAATCACAGTAACCGCCTTCTTCGTCAACAATCAGACCCGAAAGGAAAAGCCATGGAAAATTATAAATAAACGAAAAAACCCAAATAATGAAGATGATCAGTTTGGCTCGTTTCACCGTACAAATCGTCCTGAAAAAACACTAAACGCTGAACTTTGTTATCACCAACGAGGTAATTGGACTCATGCAAACTACACCAATTTAAAATTAAAAATGAAAGGAAAATAAACCGAAGATTTTCACAATGATTGTTTGGAATATATTTGCATAGGACTCGTCGAAAGAAAAACTGCTTAGAAAACGTGTTTTGACTCGTTTCAAAAGCAGACTGGTACGGAAAAAAAAAAACTTAAAGAGATTCGTCGGGTGAAGGAAGAATCAGGAATCAAATAAAAACGGAGAACAATCGTGAAACCGATCAATAAATCCACAATTATTGATTGTGGTGGTCAGCGCTAACCTGGCCCAAAATGGATGACAAACACCGATGAAGCGCTCAACGGTGAACGCAGTGATGGAGAGGGAGGACGTGTTTATCGCCAAATACGGTAAGTACGTGAAGAGTGAGCAGCCTGAAACGACGACTTTTTCTGAAAATTAAGCAATAAAAGTGCTTGTCTATTTATGCATGTTAATTAGCAAAATTTTTATAATTGTAGAGTAACTTCTTTCGAAAAAGACTTTTCCTTGACCTCCGTAGGACTCCGTAACATATATTCTTTCACTGATAAGTCAACACAAAGTTGATAAATAAACTACATTCGGACAACGTTTCCAAGCCTTCATCTTCCTTGTGGTTGACGATCCGAGTCTGTGCCCACAGTTCTTTGCACTCTCGATGTGGTGTCTTCGTCGTCGTATCGAGTCGAGCCTTCTTTAGTGAAACACAGCTCGAATACAGCAACCTCACCCAGCGATGCTCTTTTATACAAAGCGGTTGATATTGATGGTGATTGCTCGGTGGTACTAATTCGCTTTTCCGGATAATCCATCCTGTATAAAAGAGGGTGAGGTTGCCTCATTCGAGCGGTGCTCCACTGAAGAAGATTCGACTCTATACGAATACGACTACGCCACATCGAGAGTACAACGACTGCAGACCATTGACTCTAATCAACCGCTCAAAGTAGCACAAAGGTCGACACAGTCGAATAAAGTTGTTTATCCACCTCGTATTAGCTCACCAATATAGGTATATATGTTGATTTCTTTCACTTCATTCTTAATCATTATAACGTTAAAGACTACAGGTTAGAGGTTTCAGACGACAAAAACAGTTCTGCAGAAAAAAAATCAGTTTACGAAGAACTAAAAATCCTAAGAAAAAATCAGTTAGCACACCCACATATTGATCCGAATGGATAGTCTTTTGTGAAAAGTGACGAAAGTTCCGTCGGAGTGGTTGCAATGAAGAATAGTGTGTCACTCACTGCCAGTGATACCAGATAACAGTTCGTCGGTGTTTTCTGCGAAAAAAAAAACTTTAAAAGAAAAGTAAATAGAAGAGGTACGGTGGCGAATGTCATGAACATAGCGAAATTCTGCAGGATTTTCGATTTATTTCACTACCAGATAGAGGAAACTGGATTTTGATAGCCAAATTCTCTTATGTAAAGTTTAGTTAGCAATGGAATTCCATCAATCCCTTTCGATCTATAGTGCACATTGTGCAGATGCTCTGTAGACCTCCGATTCCTAAGACGTATGTGACGCAGTAGTTACAGGTGGCCGGCAATACACACATTGTCGTCGGTTCAATACCGAGTTGGGGATCACCAACCTTTCATCCGTCAGGGGTCGACAAACTGGTACAAGACCTGGGCGGATAAGGACATTGACATAAGGGATCGGTAGGTGCACGCAATTCACGATATTAGCAAAATTTGCAATCAATTACCTTTACGATGGCATGACTGGAGTTTAATGCACGACATATGGATACAAGATTGATCAAAGCTGTACCCTTTGTCCTTTCATCCTCCGCTCTAATTCTCATTGATCGATTCTTGATAGAAAAAACACCTTATAGCTCCCAACGGTTTGCCGCCTCATCATGACTGGGAGATGTCCTCGGGTGTCGGACTGCGATGAACAGTGGGTGATTCATCTTCACACCAGGGTCTCCCAAATTGAGTTTGGCGTTTCCGTTAGGAAGCCTAGCTAAGAGCAAACGAATACCGGGATCCACCACCGTCCTAGTATCAAAGTAGTCGCCTAGTGGCAAATCTTCCTCTGATCCACGAAGGCGGCGACCGCCTGTGGTAGTGACGACCAAGGGCACATTTTGACCAGGCTGACTTCTATGCTCCAGCAAAACACAATGGCTAAATCAGCAAAACCCCGAAAAGTGAAGAATATGTTGGGGCCCACACAACCAGTGAGGACGGGCCGTCCAAGTATCCAAGCAAAACACCTAGTTATGCATTTAGCTAGACGCGTGGGACGAGTGAAGAAAAGGTCGATATTTTCATTCGGAATGAATGTCTTTTTCCCAGAATCAGCTTTCTACTAACCTCGGCATTGCGATATGAATGCGTCGCTTTCTCGTTCAGCAATCGCGAGGTTGTTAACCAGTATACATTAACCTCAATAGAAAAACGCAATAGCAGAGCGATGAGCCCAAGCGAAACACTTGGCCAAAAAAAGTCGCGTTTATGTTGCCCTTTATTAGCGATGAAGTAAGCGTAGGTATTAAGCGATGTTTAGAAAGGGCAGGTCTAGAGGAATCGGTAGCGATAGTTGAAATACCACCGGCTACTCTATGTCGTCAGTTAGTTCGTAACCGCCTGTATGACCGTCTGTGTGAAACAACAAATTGCGTAATTTACCCTTACGACAGGGACAGTGATTGCATGAGTTCAGGTACGATATACCTGATCCCTTGTAATAATTGCGGAGATATTGGCGAAACGGGCAGACCTTTGTGTATCCGTATAAAAGAACACCTAGATGGCAAACGAAAACTAAGACGAAGCACACCACTAGGCACGCATGGGATACAAAAGCATAGCGGAGACGATTTTGAAGTAAAAGTCTATACCCTTACGCAAGAGACTAAAACGCCAGCGCGAAAACTTCTTGAGGCTTTTTGGATAAATGCCAAAAACCCTACAATGAATAGCAAGGACGAATGTCCGGAGGTCATACGTGACGTGACCCCGTATGTTCGCATCGATTTCTGATGTGGGATGGTGCAGTCGTCAACCACATGCGACTATAATCAGCTGTTCTAAACTTCCTCATTGGAAGTTACGTAAAAGTGGTGAGTTTTTCGAGAAGCTGTTGATCGTGTAATTACCATAGAGTTTTTCGCCTTTTTGTAAGTAGTATTGAAGCGTTTGGCCTAGTTGATTGTATATCAGTGTACCCTTCCAGGCTGAAGGCAATACTGCCGAAACGTCAGCTAGTGTTGTATTGTATTGTGTTTCTCTATGGAAGCAAATGTGTGCTGTTTAAAAACCTCGCGATTACTGAACAAGAAAATGACGCAATGTCTTCTCCATTCTCCGTCGAATTTCTGAGGATATCGAGTGGAAGTGGTTAAGTCACAAGAGGTTTGGACTGACGGATAATTTGAGAGAGAGTTCGTTACTAAACAAATAGAACAAAGTATAACTAGCTTCTCATCAACGACAATCGTTGTCTAATGCACAAAAAACGCTAAAATCAAAAAGTGATAGAGCACCAATGCCTTCATTTCATTCTTTTAACTTTCTTCCTTGTTTCTTTTTTATCTTCTCCATATTTGCATTCGTAATGAATCCAATATCTCTCCAACACATCGTCTCGTGCCCATGGTTGCTGCCGATCCAACTTGCAGCAAACTCACAATCGGTACCATTAAGTTATCATGGAAACACACCGAATTGCAGTTTCTTAGAAAAACCAGCTTAAAAGAGTGATAAAGTAGACTAACAGCGTTCTTGATTCTATAGAGCTAAAAGCGTGAAATATCGACTTTTCTTCTAGGAAACGTGAAAAATAAAGGCTAAGAATGCTCTATACATATACATTAGACTTCGCTGTAAATTCTATGAATACATTCGATTCACAAAAAAAGCTTGCAGAAACATACTAGCAAAAGAAACTACTAGCTGGCCGACACTGGAAGAAGGCAGTCACTGATGGCGATTGTATACTTAAAGGATACAAAGGACAATGCTCTCGGTGCTGATCAAACCCTGAGGGATGCGCCATGCATTCGACTTCATTATCAGTATCGTTAGGAGGTGACTGAATGCACATCTGGCCTTTACAATGAATCGCGGTGGGCTACCGATGTATCCACCCGGTGCTGATATTCTCCCTGACAAGTCTGGTAGCAATTTGCCGACCTCGGAGTGATGAAAGGCTTGGTGGACCATGGGCGCGAGGATCGATTCCACGTGTGTGTTGTAGGAAGCCTCCGACCACTGCGCCACTTGCGCGATTCTATACATACAACTAATGAAGTGCGTGCTGTGATTTCTAAATTAGTGCTTGTTCCATAAATTCTACCGTTTCAATAACAATTTTCCTCAAACCCGAACTCAGTTACGATAATATTTTAGGCGGCTAAAAATAAAGAAGAGAACATCTATTTAAAAGACTTCCAATCATAAAATCCACTCACCATTCCTCGTACTTTGAAGACTACCGTGATCACGAGAATGTTGCCAACAATTCCGATGATCGACAATGCGGAAAAGATGAAAGCCATCGTGAATTTCATCCATTCGATGGATTTTGTGGAATCTTCGTTACCATTACATTCTGGAGGAAGTGCTGAAATTGAATTCGGATATTTGGAAGAGAGGAAAGAGGATGTGAACAAGGTAAAATAAGCCGATAAAGAGGTATGAATTGGAGGATTTGTACCACTCTGAAAGTTTGATTCACTTATTGCCGAATTCTGTATCTCATAACAATAAATAATTTTGTAACTAAAAAAAGTAGCCTTGAAATTTTGAAATAGTGCTGTAAACATAAAAGGAAGAACAGAAATAGGAAAATAAATTAGTGGTGACTAAGAAACGATAAGACCACTAAACAATGCTCAGTGGTAATTTTTTTAGCTTTCTATTTGATAATGTTGAACTTTGTCAAACTATGACGTAAGACGATTTTTAAGTGAAATAGAAGCATGGTTCAGAAGAAAGAACGAATCAAACCTTGCAATAGACTCCAGTCCGGGTTTGGATCAAACCTTAAACCTGGACAGAGTAATTCGAGCTGCTCAGTGGATACTGTGGGCATAACTAGAAAGAACTACAACATTTTCTAGGATTTCCTATTATTAGATTCGAAAATAAACGTCTACAAGGAAAAGAAACACTCGACGAGAAAAATAGCGATTAGATCGAAAACAATGGGTGGTATGGTAAGCGCGACGGAAAGAACGTAGGAAGTGAAGACGACTTCATATTATGTTCTTCCCAACGAAATGCTCCTGTTGAATCACCACTGAGAATAAAAAAGCAATATAACACGTTTTCAGCAGCGTTTCAGCCTACTGAAAGTAATCTTCAGAATCAAAACAGCGCTATAAAAGATGAACTCCTTTCTAATTTGTTCGAAAAATCACATTAACTGCACGTTTACTGTGATTTCATCGAGAAACTAGCACTGGAAAAGAATGCACTGACTATAACTTTATCGATATCACTGTGATCATTACATATTCATAATTTTTTCGTGGTCATTCTTTTTCAACACCTTCTCGCTTTTAACAATCATCATCATCATCAACTTCTTCTTCTTCTCCTCATAGTTAAAACCACCGATAATTTTACTAGTTATCGCAACAATTAATATGTCTGGTATTTTCTATTTCAATAACAAGAAATCATTTTAACAGAGAAGTTACAAATGCTATAAATGATCAATTTATACCACTACAACCCCTGTTGCAGATTAATTCAATTCCTTGAGAACAAATAAAGGCTTTCCTAACTAGGCTAACTCTTTCAAATACTTTTAATATAAACTAGCTACAGTATGTAAAGAAACTAGAAGCAAAAATCGTAAAACGGTTAGGGCGAAAAATATGGAAAACAAAAAAACATTAGGTCTTTAAAATCTCTTCAAAAAGCCGCCAAAAAGTATTAGTTTGAAAAAGGGAAAGAGGAAGAATGAAGCGAAAAGCTTCACGGCAGTTTTTAAAAAAGACTACGGAATTATGAAATTATGAGAAATCATTGGCAGAACTGATACTGGGCTTGGAGATAGATGATAAAAAATACTTAAATAGAAAAACACACTTATTTTTAAAAGAGTGCAGGTAGAAAAAAACCGAGTTTTTATCGCAGTCCATTCGTTGACTTAAAAACAAGTGAGTTCGAACTCAATTGAGAAGAACACGAAAGGACAAAGAAAGAAATCGTCGTGATGATGCAGCCGTCACTTGGCAAATATTGATAGAATTCATTCGAACAAAAGTAAATCAATAACACGTTTAATACATGTTCTTTTCTTCCGAATAACGAATAAACTGACTGAAGCCGAAAACAGTACGATGATTCTCAACGCAAGAATGCTGAAAAAGTCCTGTAGAGAAGGACAGGGTGACTCGTTTAACTGTGTTTAACTGATGAACTGCGAAAGAAAACAAAAAATGCTAGTGGAATGTAATCGACTTATATTAGCAGAAACTATCATTCGATGTCTAAAAACTAAACTGAAATGCAACATACATGATCGAGCGATACTTCAAAGATTTGACATGGTGTCAACATGTCGCAATATTAAAGCATAAAACCTGAAAGCGTTAGACATCAGTCAATCTTTTGGGAATGACCTTCGCATTCGTCCTATTCGTAAGAGTACAAAGGAGATTGAGTGTATATCTGACTTATACTGTACTATATGTATGTATATGACCTATACAACGACTTACTAGTACTTGCGGATGTATCAGCTCAGTGTTTTCACCTTCTTGAATTAACAAGTTAACCCTAAGTTGATAAAGATATTCATTCGGCTAACGTCTCGACGTCTTTGTCTTCCCCATAGCTTAGCGTTTCTATCTTCCTAAACTAGAGTGCAATCACTTTTTCGAGTCCAGAGTGATTGGAAGCCTGATTTATTCCGCTGCGAGATCGAAACAACAAGCAGATGTGATTTGCGGAGCAGCTCTAAGTCAACAACAACAAGCGCTCTTGTTACAACATTAGAACATATAAAAATAAAAGTAATAGAACATATGAAACTAAAACTAGCTAAGAGATAGGCCAATCGAAGGACCGCATGGTGTCGTGGTGAACGCGTTAGCCCACGAGAAGGATAATAGCGCTTTCATTTCCCAGCGCAGACACCTGCGGCCCTAAGTTTTCCAAATATCTCAGCATCAATGTGGTTAGAACATGCACTTGTAAAAAGAAAACGCGGTGACAGATTTTGTTGTAGGTTTAAGTGTGTGATCCGCAGCCGCCATTACTATAGTGTATGATGTGGAATGCGATAAGTAGGAATGTTCTGCACACACCCGAAAGTTAGGTGGAGGCGGATCAATCAGCAGATTTGTCAGCCGGCGTAGGTGAAGATCGAGTCATGGAGAAAAACAGAGACAAATCATCATTGACGTGGATCTTCTTGGAAAATCATTTCAGACAGACTGAAGGAACATGAAAAAACTGAACAAACACTGTAAGAAAATAGTTGGATTGGTCGCTCAATTTAGTAATCAGCTTCTTAAACTTGCAACTGTTGAAAAATAAATATCCAACTTCTTCTTCTTGATTCCGCTCTAACAAATACTGATGCTGGCTGGAAAATAAAGTTTTTAATAGTTTCTAAGCCGATATGTGAAAAAAGTGCAAGCCATTAATAGATTTTTGCACGAGGTCATACTGTAATCTACTTGACCCACATAATTTCCAAACTCAGCTGAACAATCTTGGCTAATAGAAGACTTATTTACTTACTTGATACTTAGACGGCCCGTCATCACTAGTTGTGCGGGCCCCACCGTAATCACCACTTTTCAGAGATTTGCTGGTTAAGCCATTGTAGTTTCCTAGAATCCCGAGCTCATGGCCAAAGCCTGCCCTAGGTCGTCACCACGACAGCCAGTCGCAGCCCTTGTGGATCAGAAAAAGATTTACTACCATGCGACTTTGATACCAGGTTGGTTTACTCTTAGCTAAGCTTTCTGATGGAAACGCCGGACTCCTTCTCAGCTTGGGAAACCCTGTCGGAGAGACGAATCACCCCGCTTTACATCGCAGTTCGACACCCAGGAACACCTCCCAACCACGATAAGGCGGTAAACCGTTAGGAGGTATAGATTTACGAAAGAAAAAAGAAAAAAATCAAAACAGATTTCGAAGGCACCTCTTCAATGTGACCCACACAGAGGGGAAAAACTTTTTGAAGAAATATTTTAGTAGCAACTCTCATGCTCTTGCAGCATAATATAACAATTAATGTATTTTTAGCACAACTTTCTTCGGTATATGTCAAAACTGAGTTAAGTCCTTGGGAACCATGTGCTAGCTTATTAATTTCGAAATGTACTGGTTAATTCTAAAAAACGTTTCTACCGAAAATGATATCGGGTGATCTCCTATGATGACCGTAGTACTTCCAAGAATCAAATGACTTTCATGCCGAGAATTCAGAGCATGACGATTTTTCTTTGTTGTTGTTGAGATTTCAAAGGAATATTTCGTCCTATCGTTAACTCCAACGAATCACTGTAGCAATGGCGATTGTCGTCTATTTTGTTCAGCTTTATAACTTTCTTAACAACGTTCAAAGAAGGAGTAAGAAACGTAAAAAAAACTTCTCTTACTGCATAACAATATTATTGTACAACTTGTGAAGACTATTCCCAAGGAAACCATGAAGAACATCTTCTGAAGGGACTACAGAACCGTCTGAGATGTTCTCGAAACGGTTTCTTCTAGATATCACTACCTCCTAGTGATTGAGAATCCTTTCCAACAATCTATAAGTGCAACTCCAAAATGACACACTTAAATTTTTCCCATAACAGGCACCAAATATTTTCGATAATGGACGTCAAGCGGTAATCAAAAGGATGCAAAAATGTGAGAAACACTTATGCTAAGTTCGTAACTCAAGTTGTATTCAAATAAAGTTTTAACGAGTTGTTAGAAAGCTAAAAATACGGTACCACCAAGACTTATTTCTTTTTAATCCATTTCTCTCCATTACTCAGTTTTTTCCAGAAGAATACTTTTTTATTAAAATTACAACTCAAATGAAGCATTTTAATCGATTATATTTACAAAAAAAACTTGATTTTGTTCTCACTTTTATACGGATATAAGTTTATAACAGACATCCATTCTATCTACAAAGAGAAAACTTAAGAAACTGAAAAAACTTCCACGAATGTCTCTAAAATTTGAAATTTAAAATATCCATGAAATCAGTAAAATATCGGCAAAATTACTGGAATCAGCATCGACAAGAATCAAGACACATTTTTTGCTATTCGCTTCACCAAAAATGACTAGAAAAGTGGAACCGATCTACACACCGAATTTTCCTATTTACCACGTCTACGAACCTGGGAAATTAAACAGTGAACCTAAAAACTACAACAGAATTCACACCTAATCATTAATATGCAGGTCTATCGATATGTATTCACACAAAAGCGTACTAAACTTGTTTCGAGTCTAACATATCATTACAAGAACGAATTCGAAAACTGTTTAATATAAGTGGAAGATTAATGAAAGCACAAAATGTCAACGCAAAGTATAGTTATCGATTGGAAGTGACGAACTATTGATACATATGCTTTCCACCACTTCCTAATACACAGCTCTCAATGATCAATCACAGAATTTTTGCTGAAAAAAGTGTTTTGAAGTAGTCCATTTCTATAGCAATCATAGTTAACAGTGAGGACCACTACACGCCACTTTATAAAGCCCGCCTACCTTGTCATAATTACGGTAGCAGAGAATATCTAGATGGTCCCTTCATAAATCATAAATTTTACTTCTCTTCTACGTCTAATCCCCAGCAAACGCTGTAGCCAACACAAAGATGATAGCTAATTATGATTTGAAATGTAACAAGAATTATTATAATTATTGCACAACTTGAAAGGTAGAGTGGAAAAAACCAGAACGAGCTAAAGAGAAATCCAAGCCCTACCAAAAAAAAGAGAGTAGCTTCTCTCAACGGAGTGCCCTACCTCTTTGCCCACCATTTGCATGTTAAATAAATTATTTTATTACAAGCTCGCTTAGGTCAAATATGCATTCAACCACTGTTATTAAGCTACGAATTGAGTATGATGCATAACGCGACCATAGGGGACTAACAATCACCTTCGTCCTCTTGATTTCACAAAGTTCGTCAGTACTAGTAGAAGGAACTTTCGTGTGTAATATTAGTTCCTCACCTAAAAGAATGACGTTCACAAAGTAACCCTAGAAAAACC